AGAGAGAGAGAGAGAGAGAGAGAGAGAGAAAACATTATTTTATATTCACGAAATCCTAACGCTAGGTGTTTTACGGTGGTTTCTCATGGGAGGTAAAGCCCATAGAGTGCACGTCTTCTCGGCGCTCGGGCTCAAAAATGAAAATTCTGTCGGATGCCACCTTCCGGAAATAACTTTGTCTTGGTGATGAGCTACTACGACGCTGGGAAGCGGCAACGTCAAATCCTCTGGAGACAAAAAACAAACCGATTAATGACGTCATCATTCATCATTACTGTCACGATGTTAATAATAATAAAAATAAAAACCTTGTAAATCCGTCAAGACGAGTTTGTTATTGTATCCTCCGGTCAGTAGGTAACAAGCGCTCGGTGAAAACCTTATCGATCTTATGTCTGATGAATGAGGTTTGAAACATTGAACATTATTGATTTCTCAGGAGAAATGCAGATTACGCACTAACCCCTCCTAAGAGGGAATGTGGGGCTCGGTATGGATTCAAAGAAAGCCTAACCGGGGACCCATACCCACTAAAACTCCTGAGCATGTCGCAATAGCGTGGCTTAAATGAAAATGGGGGGGACGGTCGTTGGAGTAAAACCTACATTTCAGTCAATTCCCTCTCCGGGAAGCCAGAAAGTTAACCGTTCCACACGTTTACACTGGTGGGAGATCCGCCCTAGTCTCCGTTCCGCCGTCACCTCGAAGACGAGAGCGCAACTCCCGGAACGTTCGGTAAGCCCCTTTCGGGAGTGCCCTCCGGTCCCTCGCACGGGGGGAAAGGGATGGGAACGCGCTTGTTTCCCGAGAATAGGATCGGGTGGAGGATATAGACTTACCGACCTCTTGTCACCTGAAAAGGGCAAAGCTAAAAATTAAGTGTTAGTTGATCGCATCCTCTAAATACTAACGATGAATCTGGAATGATGAGGAAAGACAGACGAGGGATCGGCCGGGATCGTCGAACCCCAATAAATGTTAGGAAATAAGTTAAAAGAGTACTTACCGACGACGACTACTTCGCGATCGCTGCCGCAGCACCCAGCCGTCCGAAGAATTTCGTCACCGTCTCCTTTCCGAATTTTCTTCTTTCGGCGTCGCTCTAAGTGAGACGGAGCGACCTGCCACATCGCTCGCGCATCGGTTGCGGAAAACTGCGGGTTTCCGGACGGGACGACATCAAGCGGGTTCGCTACTCCCTTTTGATCCCGTCGTCATCTTTCCGCGACGAGTTTCCGCTTGTTCGCTGGTGAGAGATCGAAGACACGCACCTGTAAATAGATGATTATTTCCCAGTCTCCCTGGCGTTCCCTCCGAACTTAGCGCAGGTCTGCAATCATTCGCTGCGCTTTGCCTCCTGGAAGGTGGATCACAAGAGCCCGCCGCGACTCCCGTTGGCCGTCGAAGAACGCACCCCATTTGGTCCCGAGGGACCGGTGCGAATCTCCCCCCGACGTAATCGAGAAAGAGACCCGGATCCCGGTCCCTTTGCGCCCACGGAAATGGTCGCGACCTGCCACGTTGCTCCCGCTTCCTCCGCAGAGAATCAAGTTTCCGGAGACGGAGAGATCCGACGGGTTCGCTACTCCCGCCGAATTCCCCGGAGTCCGTCCAACTCTGAAAGAGTACTTACCGACGACGACTTCGCGATCGTCGCTGCAGCACCCAGCCGTCCGAAGAATCTGCGCCGTCGTCTCCTCTTCGTATCTTCTTCTTTCGGCGACGCTCTGAGTGAGACGGTGCGAGTTCTTTACGCTTTGGTGAGCGATTCGTTCGCGATGCGGCCCTTCGCTTGCGAATCAACCGCGAGGATCGAAAGCTTCCGGAGATGAGTCAATCCGTGGGGGACTTTGGATCTCTCCGTGTTCTTTCTGCTACCGATCCCGTGTTTTCGAAAAACGAGACGATGAATCCAGACATTCGGTCGTATTCCTGAAAAGAAAGGTCCACGTCATGTATCCCGCGGGTTAGTAGGAAACAGGTCTGTTTAAGATTAAACATCCGCTGCACCCGGCCTCCAAGTAGCTGGATTACAGGAGCACGCCACGACTCCCAGCCCCCGTTCTACTGTCGACCTGAGTCAGCTCGACATTTCACTTTTCTTGTTCCTGGACATTCCCCACTGGAAGCCAATTCGGGAATTAATTGGTTTCCATCGAATAAGATGGTCTCGGGAAGACTTACAAGAATTGTTGTGATGCTGTTTTTGTTGTAAAAGGTGAAAGCCTTTTCATCAGGCAACAGCATTACTGATATTTAGGCATTTATTCCGTAGGGATCGGGTAAAAACCTGGAAAGTAAATGTTGAAAAATCCTCCGACAAACATTAATACGAATTGTCATGATTATGAGTGATAATAATAATAATAATAATAATAATAATAATAATAATAATGTATAATTTTGTGAGTCAACTCTTACAAGTGCATCTCCCTCTAGTAAAGAGCGGAGTGAAGCATGTTCAAGAGTTTTAGTCGACACTGCCCGTAGGCGGAGTCTCACACTCTTCCTACTACCAAATAAGGAGTTTACTTCTGGGTCACCAAAAAAAAAGGGAGGGGGAAGGGTAGAAGCAGAAAGATTTTATTAATTAATAAAAAATAAATAAATAAAATTGAAAATATACAAAATGTGAATTTTTTTTTAATTTCAATAATTACAATTTATATTAACAATTTTTTTTATTTTTATTATAATTAATGTTTTGTTTAAATTTATTTATTTACTTATATTTATTCAAAAAATAAACTGTCACTTATTATTCGTTTAAGTAAATAATTAGTTAATTCTTTAAATAACAATAATAATAATAATTATTATTATTATTAATAATTATATCAAAAAATAAAAAAAAAAATTATTTGTTTTTTTTTTTTTTGAATACATACATAAATTATTAAAATAAAAAAAGAAGCATAGTATTTCGAAAAAGGATTTTTTCGATCTTGTTGTAATTTATAAAATATTTATAAAAAAAAAAAACTTATAAGAATTTACTATTAATAATAATAATAATAATAATAATAATAATAATAATGATAATGATAATAAAAGAACTGCTATTGAAAAACAAATTGAAAAAAAAATAAATAAATAAAAATATTTAATATTTATTAAGTGTGAGTGTTATTTATTCAAAATCATCAACGATCTCAATATTTTATTTAAATAAAATGTCCGTAAATTTTGCTGTTGTTGTTGCTGTCGGACATATTTGTTTATTATTATTATTATTACTATTATTTACCCCATTTTTTTGCAACAGTTAAGTTTTTTTTTTTGTTCATATTATCTCTTTTATTTGTGCTAAAATTTATCTTTTATCTTTTAATTTTTTTTTTTTTTTTTTTTTTTAATATTTCAAATTCAACTTACAGCTTTTATACATTTTTTTCGTAAAAAAAAAACAAACAAACAAACAACAAACAAATTAATAATTATTTAACAAACAGAAAGAGACAAAATTATAATAAAAATTATTTTATTTTTATTTTTTTTTTTTCTGAGATCAAATCACTGGAATTCAAACGAAATTTTTTTTTTTATCATAACAAATGATAATAATAATAATAATAATAATAATAATAATAATAATAATAATAATAATAATAATAATAATAATAATAATAATAATAATAATAATAATAATAATAATAATAATAAATGATAATAATTAATAATAATTAAAAAAAAAAAAATTTTCGTCGTTACAAATTTAAAAAAAAAAAAAAATTAATTTTTAAATATATATTTTTTTATGAATATATTTATTATTAATAATAATAATAATAATAATAATAATAATAATAATGTACAAATATATACCGTAAATCCAGTGACGTCAAAATAATGCAAAAAACAAAAAAAAAAAAAAACTATTAATAATAATAATAATTTATGTATTTTTCAGATTTGCCATTTAAAAAATTATTCGCTGTAAATTTTTCCCTGATTCCATTATAGAAAAAAAATTTTATTTATTTATTTCTTTTAATAATTTAACTTATTATTATTATTATTATTATTATTATTATTATTATTATTATTATTATTATTATTATTATTATTATTATTATTATTATTTATAGCACTGAATACTGTACAAATAAAAATAAAAATAAAAAAATCACTGTAAATAAATTTGACACTTTGGTATTTAGCTTTCAAGTTTAACAGTCTTCTTTCTTTTTTTTTTTTTTTTTTTAAATAAATTTTAAACGCGTTTAAATTTTTTTTTTCTTCACTTTTTTTTTTTATTATCTCTTTTATAGTTCTTTTACGTAAAAATTAAAAAAAAAAAAAAAAAAAACAAAACTGTCACTTTATTTGCTCCATATAATAATAATAATTATAACAATATTATTATTATTATTATTTATTTTTTTATCCAGGAATCATAACTTCTTTTATTAACATTATTCTTGTTGGCAAATCATCATCTGCATAACCATTTTATGGAAGCACCATTTGCTTTCTATCTCTCTTTCTCTCTCTATCTCTTTCTGTCTTTTTCAATTACTTATAAAAAAACAAACGTTTAAAAAAAAAAAAGAAAACTTTGGTTCTTCTTTCAAATAATAATAATAATAATATTAATTACAATTTATAAAATAAAAAAAAAAAAAATTCGGTAACCAAATGACATTTTCTCATCCTTATTCTCTTTCTTTCTTTCTCTTTCTCTCTAATTTTTTCACATACCTACTTACACATTCATACTACACACATTCAAGTACAATTTTTTCTTCTTCTTCTTCATCTTCTTATTCTTCCTTTGTTTTAATCATTATTATTTTAGCTATTTTCATATATATATATATATATATATATATATATATATATATAAAGTCTTTAAATTTAGTCAACAATAGAAGTTTACATATATATATATATAAATACGGAGGGACTTGATCGAAATTCGAAAAAAAAAAACTTAAAAAATATTTTCCCTGCGACACGCCGTAAAAAAAAAGAAATAGGCCATCGCAGGTTCTTTAGAGTCACACCAAGTGACCCTCTGTTTCCAAATTAGCAGGATAACCTTGACCAAACGTCGAAAGAGCTGGTTGAGGCATAAGAGTTGCCGATAGGACGGGCCCCGTAAGTTTCGGAGGCGAAGAATTATTATGTAAAACTGTTACATCAGGAAGGACGGGACCTCTTTGACGTTTAAGAGATCCCGTAGGCATTGTATGGTTGTACTCTAATGGTTGAGAGTAAGGTAAATACCTGAAAACCCCAACGCAATTAATTTTAAACTAATTCACAATCATCATCATCATCATCATCAAGATTTACAGAAAGTAAAAAAGTATCTACCTCGACTCCGCTTGCATGTTATAATAAGTTCCTTCTATCGTCTGAGGAGGAATCATTGAATTGTTTATGTAGTTTCCTTTATTTACAGGATGCGGTAATGTGTTTCTCGTCTGAACAATTTCCGGATCTGGTACTACATGATTTCCCCTCAATTGATGCTGCATTTCGTAGCTTGCAGGGTACTGGAACGGATAATCAAATTGGTCTATTAAATATGTGCTATTAGCTACTTTACACCCGTCCTCCTAAAACACAAAAGTTTATTCGTTAGTAATTCATTATTATTATTATTATTATCCTCATTCATTAGATTGTACCCTCTTCCGTTCGTGTGCCGAACAAAAAAATTCATGTTTGTTAATGTTACATTTACTTGGATTGTTCTAAAAAATTTAAACTTCATCTTACCGCATAATCGGCGTTGACTTCTCCGTTTGAATAATTTTCACTTTTTTCCGAAACTGAACTTAATGTCTCTCCGGTAACTGTTTCATTATAACTACTCGGTGCATACATTTCAATGGTTGCAGATTTGTTGCTTCCTTGCTCGCTAGGACCTAAATAAAAATATTAAAAAACAAAAAAAAAATAATAATAATAAATTATTTTGCTTATTTAAAAAAAAAAAAAAAAAAAAAACATACAATGAATTATTGGGGGAGTATGAGCTAGGTAGCAAATTATTATTATCATTCTTAATTATTAAATAATTACCCCGAATTAATTTTAATTACACGTCGACGGTTTTTTATAGAGCGCACAACAATATGCACACGCGCACACACACGCACGCCGGTTTTTTCCACGAATTTTCAAAACATACCTTTTTTAATTTTTTTTTTCTTCTTTCTTATTATGAAGCAAACAACAAGAAGTACGTTAAAAAGTAGTAATATAACTCCGGTTATTGATACGCTGATGATTATGATTCGAGGTATATCTGCTTTTCCTAGCAATTCTTCTGGGATCATAATGTCTACAAAACATAAAACGATGTGTATGTACCTGACAATCTTTTATTTCGTGATCGCCGTCGCAAGCAACAACCCACCACCAGGATGTTAAGAGCGAGCATTGTGATTCCCGCAACGGCCGTGATAACCACCATTTTCATTGATATTTCATTTTCACCGAGGGAACCAAGAGGTGGAGAATGAAGCGAAGGAGGTGGCGTGCCTAAACAACAAAAACCAAACCCATCACCTTTTACATGCTTATTAATTATTATTATTATTATTATATTATCGCATGCTATTTTGCTCTTAAAAAATTAATTTTTTAAACGTAATACTTAACTACCAACCAAAAAAAAAAAAAAACGGTTAACCGACAGATTCGATAACAAGAAAAGTGATTCGTTAAAATTTATTATTATTATTATTATTATTTTTAAATGAAACGCCATTATTTAAATTTTATAGTTAATATGCAATGTTTTACATAAAAAAAACAATTTTAAAAACCCCGCTGTAATAGCAGTAGAAAAAAAATTTTCATGAATTTTTCTTAATTTTTTTTTCCTCCCTATTTGATTAGTTTTAACAATGAAATGAAATTTTTTTAAAAAAGCGTATTCGCTTATGTAAAGCAATTTAAGAAATATGTCATTTTATTAAAAAAAAAAAAAAAATTATCGGAAAATGTCGCCTTACTTGATGTTTTCGTTTTAACTACATCTTGCATGTAGTTACTATTTCCTCTGTCGTTGAACGCCATTATTGTAAATACATATTCTGTATCTAAATTTAAACCGTTAACTGTATAATATGTTGAATTATCAGTTAATACGTCTAAATATCTAAAACCTTCTCTTTCAGAATCTGAAATTTTAAACAAAAACTCAAGTTTTTTTTTAATAATGAAAAAAATCTAGCGAAAAAAAAAAAGTCAACGAACTTTTATTATCTGCTTTATATCTGATTCTGTAAGAAGTTTTGAGTCCTCCGTCGAATCCAGGTACCCAAGATATTGTCACGGAATCATGAGTGACGTTAAGTACTGTCATAGACAATGGAGGATCCGGAGCAGAAGTCACGTTGAGTACGATTATGGATTTTGCAATCCCTTCTTCGTTTCTTGCTTCGCATTCGTATTCTCCATAATCGGACGCTTCCACGTTATTTATTATCAATATCGATTCGAACGTCGTGAAATTAACCTAATTTATTTATTTCGATTAATTTTTAGGTTCGTATTAAAAATAATAATAATAATAATAATAAAGGTTTCGAGACTTACTTCGCGAAATTCCGAAAAATATTTACTCGTTATGTTGGGAACCAAATTCATTCTATTTCTAAACCATTGAAATGTTGGCTTAGGCACGGACGATGATCTACATATTAATCTACCGGTACTTCCTATATTCGATGCAGATTTTAATCGGGCTGGAGAAAAATCCATTTCTGGCTTATCTGAAATAACGATGATAATAATGATAATTGTAAAAAAAAAGGTTTTTCATCTATCAATATATATGTCTGATAATGTATCTTACATTTGACTAATAATTCTATAGTTTTAAACGTTTCGTTTCCTATTCCGTTGTTTACGACGCACTCGAAAGAACCAGAATCTTTACGAGTAGGCGAACGTAAAACTAAATAAGACGTGGAATTAATAAATGTTTTAGATATTGTTTTTTCATCTAAATCGTAATAATTTTTATTCCTCCATGAAATATCGTCTTCTTTTAACGGATTACCATCGACCGTGCAATTGAGTTCGACATTTTCTCCAGGCGTTGCTACAACGTATTGTGGAGCGGTTACTACGTAAGCCGAATCTACAAAAAAATTAGAAATAAAATTTCAGGTAGGAATAAATACTACTAATCTTCATTCGATTTACTCGAGGAAAAACTTACATTGGACGCTTATATTAAAAGTAATTGATGCCGAACCCTGAGAATTTGATGCCGTGCATTTATATTCTCCATTATCGTGCCTAGTGAGCCTCGTTATGTTCAAAACGGGACCATCAACAATCAATCTTGAATTTTTTTTTGAAAATGAAACGCCATTTTTATTCCAAGTATAAACTATGTTACTTGGATTGGCTTTTGTTTCTAAAAATATCAGCAAAGGTTCTCCTTCGACCGCTGAATATATTTTATTCGTTAATTCTTTAAAAACTGGCTTAACTATAAAAGAAAAAGAAAACGGAAACGGAAACGTATTTTAAAAACGTAAAAAACGATTCATAAAAACATTTTAAAAATTAATTTTTGATACACACATAAAACATCTAATGTAAATGCATCGTGTACGCTTCTTTGAAGCGGTGCGTTCGTTGCTTGACACGTGTAAACGACACCATTAATTTCAGGTGTCACGTTTACTTTGAGTTCAATCGTTGATATGACTCCGCCGTGTAATCCCGGTTTTGTGGTATTTATTGCACCGCCAACGGGTATCCCTTCTTTCCACCAACTTAACTTAGCCGGAGGATTACTAGAACTAGATTCGCAAGTTAACGTTGCTATTTGTCCCGGTTTTAATTCGGCGGGTTCTTTTCTCACTCTAACATGATCCGGAGGAACTAATATTTAAAAAAAAAATAATAATAATAATATTTAACAAAAAAAAAAAATTGTATGAAAGTGCTATGATGATAACTCACAATAAACATTTAATTTAACGGTTTCAATGAATGGAACTTCTGTCGCTGGATTAGACGCTTCGCATTTGTATACGGCTCCGTTATCAGTCATATTTGTGTAGACGGTTATCTCTGCGGAGACGGATCGGTCGTTTGTTTTTGACACAGAAGTTATCTGTAATGTGACGTAACACGGTAATGGAATCGAAAAAAAAAATTTATTTTTATATTTTTTTAATTACGATTCCTCATATTTACCTTTTTATCATTTTTGTACCACGTTAGCGTCGCCAAAGGATTACCTCCTGATGAAATACACGATATCATTTGTACAGTACCCACCGGAATATTGGTACCTTTTGTGTAACCGCTAATTATCGGATGGCCGGGTGGATCTAAAAATAAATAAAAATTTTTTAATAAAAATACAAAAAATCTGTTGTAAATAAAAATTTTTTTTTTAAATAACAAACGTACACAAAACGTTGATCGTGTGCGTTCCGACAATGTTTTCAGTTAAGTGCATGTTCAAACCGTGGCAAATAACAACCAAAGATCTTTTATTCTGTCCAACTGTCACTGTTATATTTGAAGTACTTATCGAACCGCCGTTCGGTGACGGAGTTGTTATCACCGATGTGTTTCGCACTTGTCTTCCTGCAACCATCCATTTAATATCCGCTGGAGGATTACTGTTATCGGTCGTGCATGTCAAAGGCACCTTATCCCCGGCTTTTGCTTCGGTTGGACCAGAAATAGTCACGTGAGCAGGTGCAACTATAAATAATAATCAAAAAAATAAATCATTATTAATACGAAAAAAAAAAAAATAGAAACCGTCAAGGTGAATTTAACCCGCGTGTAACGCTTCCGTTTTTTTTTTTAATTTTATTATTATTATTATTATTTTTTTTTTTTTAACTTTTCTCACGTGATTTAAAATAAATAAAAATCACTCACGCAAAATTTACAATTTAATTTAATTTAAAAAAAAAAAATGTATTTTTTTTTTTTTCTCATTTAAATCTCTGAGAGTTTTTTTTTTTTTACTTGAATTTTAAACGCGTTTAACAAAGAAAAAAAACTAGAAAAACAGGTAGTATCGACGAATGAATGAACGATTAAGAAAATAATAATAATAATAATAAATGTGTGTGAATTTGTATTTAGTTACCATAATAAATAATACTAACAACTAATTAGTTGTTCGATTTAAAAAAAAAAAAAGTTTTAGACATAAAAAAGTACCACAATAAAATTTCATAACTTTATTTTAAAACAAATAATTACGTAGATATTAAATTAATACGTTTCATAAAAAAACATTTATTTATGAAAAATATACATCGGATACCAATTAAATATAAATGTTGAGACTTCCGTTTTTTAAAAGTCATAATACAAAATATCTTGTACGATAATGTACGTTTCGTGTATACAAAAAAAAGAAACAATACGTTTCCTTTAATTAGTCACGTGGTGAGTCATCATCATCATCAAAGGTACGTTCAGGTTCTCTAATGATGATTGAAACCCCTGTGGGAAAAAACAATTAAATTACTTACAGAGCACAGAAAGCGTAACTTCTGCTTTGTAAGGTATCGGACTCATGACGTTTGTTGCTTCGCATTTATATTTTGCTTTGTTATCGTTTGAATCCGCGGTAAAAGTGTAAACGTTTTCAGAAAGGCGTCCGGCCGTTCTATATGACATTCTCACAGGTTCGCCATTTTTAAACCAAATTAATTGAGCGGGAGGATTACCGCCACGAGATCTACATATCAATTCAATTGTTTGACCTCTTTTAACGGTTTCTCCTTCGGTGTAACCTTCGATGTAAGGCAAACCGGGTGGATCTGAGAGAAAAAAAAAAAATTTCCAACAATAATAATAATAATATTCGTTTGTTTGGGAAAATGTAAAAGGCATCGACAAACTTTACTTACACAATACGGAAAGGCTAACTGTTGATCTCAATGGCATGTTTGTTGGTAATGCCTCGTGTCTTGCTTCGCATGTATATTCAGCGACGTCATCATCCGCTGTCGGTTTTATTTTTATTTTACTTAATACGTTGTACCTCGTGACTTTTCCTTCGGGTACGTTTATCACAGTATCAGAACTATTGTCTAAACAAACAAAAAAAAAAAATATTTTTAAAACTTTTTTGAATTCTCTGCGGCAATAAACAATTGACAAATAAAAGTTTTTAACGTGTACATCCCGATTGATTCCGAAATAAAAAAAATTCCATAGAGTAATAAAAAAAAAAAAAACACCATGACATAAATATTATTATTACTAATGAAAAATATTTTAAAATTATTTCTCGAAACGATTAAAACCCCTTTTTTATTTTATTTTATTTATTTATTTATTTTCGTCGTAATGGTTAACATTAACGCTGCGTCATAATGATGATAATAATAATAATAACGGTAAACGCGATCGTAAATTTCGCAGGAAACGGCATAAAAAAAAAAAAAAAAAAATTAACCGACAAATTTTACAATTAAAGATAATATCTACGGATAATGTAGTAGATATTATCTCTTTGCATTATTACCATCTTTATATACGTCTTAAATTTTTTTAAGTCAAAGAAAATTCTGGAAAAAAAAAGAAAAAATTTACAATCAATAATTTATTTCATTATTATTATTATTATTATTATTATCGCGAATTCATATAAAAAAAATTATTATTATCACCGGTTTTTTTTTTGCCATTAGCAAGAGTTTCTTTTTTTTTTTATTGTTGCTACCGTTAATGTACGATTAATAATTTTTTTTTTTGTTGTTGTCTTCTTTTAAAAATCAAAAGACGTCCTACATTTTTTAAAAAAGGAAATGGTAATAATAATGATGATAATAATGATAACTTTTTCCCGCAACGGTTTTTCTTTTTTTTTTTTGAAAATCAATAATTAAGAAATAAAAACCCCAGATGGTGGTAAATTAAAGTAAAAAAAAAAACTCATTTTATTACTGGTAATTATTATTATTATTATTATTATTATTTAACGATTGAATAAAAAATTTATTTATTTATTATTTTATTGTATACATGAATAAATAGTAATAATAATAATAATAATTGTTATTGTCGACGGGAAAGCGATTTAAAAAAAATTTTTCTTTTTTTTTTCACAATTTTTTTTCTTTCTTTTTTAAATAAATAAATAAAAAAGTATAAAAAATTAGTGATAATAATAATGATGATGATAATAATAATGAAAATAATACTAGAGAAACAGTTTTAAAAAAAAACTCATTTTGAGTCTCGTTCATTTAAAAGGCTTTAAAAGCTGTTGAAAAAAAAACTTTTCAGGTCGGTCAGCAAAGTAATTTGCTGCTGCTACGGAGTCACTTCCCCTCTCCCTGTTTTTATAATATCATTATTATTATCATTGTAATCATTATTAACTTTAAATTTATTAACTTTACGTCGTATTTTTTGCATTAAAAAAAAAAAAATTAAAGCGTAAAAAATAAAAAAATAAAAAAAAAATAAAGTGCGCGAGGAATGACCGAACGATCGACCAATCAGAAACGTAAAAATTTTTTTTTTTTATATATATTAATATTCCATCGTATACGAATAAAACTAAGAGATGACACATAAATTAAGACTTTTTATTAGATAAAATAATTAAAAATAAATAAACATACCTGATTTTAATTCAATGTCTCCCCTATACCAAATCACTTTAGCAGGAGGTTTTGAATTTTTAACCAAACATTCAATTTCTAATTCTTCATTTTCCTTTATTTGAATTTTATCTTTTGATGAATGATTAATTATTTCTATTGAAGAAGGTGGAGCTGTCGGAGTTAAACATTAAACAATTATTTATAACTAAAAAACCGTCGGAACAAAGAAAAAATATATAAATAATAATAATAATTCATATATAAATAAATACCTATGACGGTTAATCTGGCGTTGGCACGTATTGCTTTATTATTAGCAACGGGACCAACTTGGCACTGAAACTCAGAATCATCTTCTAACGTAACATTTGTTATTTTTAAATTATAAACTCCGATTTTTCTATCTCCTATATAACTATATCTTGGAAGTCCTGGAATTTCAGCGTTGTAACCTGGAAAATAAATAAAAAAAAAAAAAGTTAAATAAACGTGAGTTTTCCTTCTTCTTCTTCTTCTTTTTAAAAGAAAAAAGAAAATTTTTTTTTTTTTATTCATTTATGTAATATATTTGACAACCTTTGCACGTTTCAAAAAAAAAAAAAGTTTTAAAAAAACAAAAATCTTTAGAATAAAACCTAATTCAAAAATTGTTGTTGTTGTTGGTGGTGGTAATGGCAGTGGCAGTGGTGGTGAAGAGGGGGTAAAAAAAAAAACTAGTTTTAACTTTTCAAACCTTTACTTTTTTTTTCACCAACCGTAAAACTTTTTGATTTTGACTTTTTTTTTTTTTACTTTTTCGTACCAACTTTAAAAATTATAAAAAAATAAAATTTATTCATATTTATGAGTAACAAAAATTATTATTATTATTATTATTTTGTTAGTCTCGATTAAATGAATAAATCAATCTTTTTTTTTTTTTGTACTTCCTATTTATGTGGGATTAAAGTGGCCAAAAGGAAATTTTAAAAACTCGTTTGTTTATTTGTACAACAACAAACAATAAATGCACCTCGTGGGTAGCAAAATCGGTTTATTAATTATTAATAATAATAATAATAATAGTTAAAGCTCAGGTATAATGATTATTTGCCCACCGGTATTAAATTAGTTTTTTTTTTTTTTTTTAAACTTTGAATGAAACTTAAGTTACGTGGGTAATAACGAATCAATCGATGATTTTTTTGTCTGCTTCCACTTCGTTTTGCATTCGTTTAAGATGTGGAAAATTTAAGAATAAACGTTCGATTTGTCACAGATCGTTTTGATAATAAAATAAATATAACATCAAACGAAATGAAAAGATGTAATAATAAAAATTATGCTTTTTCGTATAAAAAAAAAAATGGCGATAGAATAAGAGAGAGAGAGGGAAACAAAAAAAACGTTCGAATTTTTTTTATTTTATTTAACAAAGAAAAAAAAGAAAAAATTCGAATTTTTACGAATCATTTAATTTAATTATCGTTTTGCTTCGTTTTACCCCCTTTCACTCCTTCTTTTTTCCACCGCCACCCCCCTCTTTCCCCCTGCGAAAAAAAGTTAATTTTTTTTTTATTACTCTTAACTGTCAAAATTCATTACTGTCAATGAATTTTTTTTTTTCCCCCGATGAAAGGTAATTAAAACATTTAATACCAAAAAAAAATTTTTTAAGATTCTCTTATCGATTCGATTTAATGATAAAAAAAAAGAAAAAAAATAAATTTGATGTAAAATTTTCCGAAAAAGATTTTCCAGTTTAGAATTTTTTCCCTTGAAAATTAAATTAAAATTTATTGTTTTCCGGTTTGATTTTGATTGTTTTTTTTTTGTTAATGATAAAAACCTTTAAAAAAAATAATAATAATTGTTTTACTTTTTAAAAAGAGATTGTTTAAATACAAAAAACTAAAACTGGAACTACTTGATTGTTTTATTATTATTATTATTATCGTTACACGTCCAGCAAAAAAAAAGAAAAAAACTGGAAAATAAAATTTATAAAGAAATTATTTTTAATAAATTAAATTTAAATAAATAAAAACAACACAATTTTAAAAAATAAATTTCTAACCGCCATTAATCTTCTTCTTTTTCTTCTTCGAGTAAAAAAAAAAAACAATCGATTATTTATTTTCATTCCCCCCTCCCTCTCTCTCTCTTTTTTCCTTTTTTCCATTGAGAAAATGAAAAAAAAAAAAAAAATTTGGTTTTTCCTCTTGTTTAAATTTAAATTTAATTTTTTATCAAATTTTTTTTTTTTGTGTTGTGGTTTTATTTTAAATGATCATTTTATTAATTAATAATAAATAAAATTTTTTTTAATAACCCGACTATAAATTTAATGAGAGGCAAAAACTTATTAATATTATTATTATTATCAATAAATTCATTGGAGTGTAAAAAAAAAAAAAGAAATTGTTATTCGTTTGGAAATTTTTTTTTTTTTTTGCATTTTCACATCAATCAATGAATTTTTATATTTACGAAACTTAAAACTTTTTTTTCTTTTTTAATAAAAGTGATAAATTTCTTTTTGTTTTTAAAAAAAATTAAGAGCATATGTTTAACTTACCCAAAGCAAAACCATCTTTCGTCCATTGGACTTCACCCTGTAACATTGATATTTCACATTCCAGCACTGCTTCTCCTCCTTCTCGTATTTTTAAATCTTTTGGCTTTTGTCTAAAAAATTGCTGACCTCCGTAAACTATAATAAAACAAATAATAATAATGATAATAATATGTTTCAGTAGCAGCAGCAAGAGCAGCAGTAGCAGGAGCACGTATAAACCAAGAAAAAGAAAGGAAAAAAAAAAGAAAAAATTAAAATTAATGTTAGTAATAATTTTTATTTTTACGACTGTCTCCATACTCCTCGGTGTTAACAAACAATAATTTTTAAATTTAACTTGCTTAAAATTAAATAATTCTTTTTGGCACTCGCAAATTTTTTTTTTTTTCCTTACTTCCTATTGCATGCTCCCTACTCCCCCGCGCCCCCGCTCCCACCCCCCACAGATCTTTTACGCCTCTTTTTTCCTGTTTCGAACCCTTCCTACCAACACGATTCTACTTCCCATTATTCTTTTCGAAAAAAACAAAAAATAAGTTTTGGCGGAAAAAAAAAAATTATGGAGTCGAATGCGAGGAGGAGGAGGGAAATTTTTTTTTTGTAAAACCGGAAATGAATATTATAAACCAAGGCTTGAATGTTTATCGATCATTTTCCGCGTGAATTTTTTTTTTCCCCACTTCCGATTCATCGATTCCCAGTTTAAAATCGATTTTTTTTTTTTGTTTAATTATTTCTTTGTTTCTAAATTTTTAATAACTTTTTCTCTCTGTTTTATTGATTTCAAATTAATAATAATAATAATAATAATAATAATAATAATAATAATAATAATAATAAAATTATTTATTACTTTTATTAGGATTTTTTTTTTTCAAATAATATTCAATAACTCCACTCACTCACTCACTCAAACCGGATGTTACGCACCCATTTCAATTAACAATATTATTATTATTATTATTATTATTATTATTATTTTTATGTAAATCATTTGAAATTAAATTAATTAACGAAATAATAATAATAATAATAAAATTACCGATATCGATTATTATTGATTTTCCGGTTTATTTTTAAATAACAATACCCTTCTCTCAAGACCGCGCGCGATAAATACCGGAAATCAATAAATTAAAAGAAAGTTAAATTTATAAATAAATAATAATAATAATAATAAATCGAATAGTAAAAATAAAAAATAAAAAAAATTAATAATAACAGTAATAATAATAATAATAATAGTAATTGAGAGTATGAATAAATACGACGTGACATTCAAAAAAATAAAAAAAATAAACGTAATCGGAAGCTTTAATAATAATAATAATAATAATAATATTTCGGCAAAACTTTAACGTTACTTCGCCATATGTAAAACATGTTTTTTTTTTTTTTAGTTTCTCATTTGGTCGAATAAAAAACCATAAAAAAAAAGAAAAAAAAACCTGAAAACCTTAAAAACATGTTTTACGACGCAGACATTTTGTTTAAATAAAAAACCCTTATGGCCGATTATTATTATTATTAACTAAAAAAAAAACGATTCAATAAATTTTTATTTATTTTTTATTTCGTAACAAAGAAACAAATATAAATAATAATAATGATAATTTTTTTCGATCTACGACGACGACGACGTAACAACAACAGTTAGTTAAATTAATTGATTAAATTTTCTATTAATAATAATAATAATAATAATTTAAAATCGGTCAAATTCAATGGAATAACTGTTAAAACCGTTATAAATCGGTTAAATTAAGTTAAAACGATGTTTAATTGATGATTCTAGAATATTCGTTTCCTTTTATATCCCAAAAGGTAGATAGTAGATAGATAGATGAATAGATGGATGAATAGATGTATGAATAGATGAATGGTTTATGCCGTAGTGAAAATACTTCTTTCTCTCTCAATGAAAATATAAGAAATAAAATGTTTATAAATTTTATTTATTATTATTATTATTTTACATACTACTGTTGATTGTTTATGTAATTTGTTTGTTTGTTTGTTACTAATAATGATAATAACGGTTATAAAAAAATATGTAAACATTACGAAAAAAAAATAAGAAAACGAATCGAAACATCTCGTTTATCTCTTGTTAATTGTCATTTGACCTTTTCCTATATATATATATATTGATTTATTGATTTTTTTCTTTGACCTTTTTTCTTTCTCTCTCTTCTTCTCTCTCTCTCTCTCTCTCTGGCGCTTTCGTTTTCGTCGTAATCTTATTTTTTTTAAAAATATATTTATATGTAAAATTTAAAAAAAAAAAATAAAAAATTCAACAGGTAAAAAAAAAAAATTAATCGAGCCATGCTCATGCACTTTTATAAATTTTTTTTTTTTTTTTTTTTCAAAAGTTGGTTGCGGTGAGCACCTGCTTTTTAGTTAACGAATAAACGTGTGGTCTTTGAACCACATTTAAAGGTACCTTCTCTATTTCTTCTTCTTTTTAATAATACACCTGCTTTCCACTTGTATACCTTTTTTTTTTTTTTTTTTTTTTTTAATCGTCTCACGAAACATAAAAAAATTTTTTTTTTACGAAACCCACATTAGAAAATTTATTTATTGTTTATTTATTTATTTAAATAATATTTTTTTGCAAAAAAACAATTCGTAATCCAGTAAAATAATTATTATTATTTCTCATTTTTTTTTTTTTAAATTTCAGGTTTTTTTTTATGTATATCAGTAAAAATTAAGTGTCATGAGAATTTTTTTTTTAAATTTGATCAATTCAAAATCTTTTAGATTCTCATGCCATTGAATTATCTTTTCATAACATCATAATTACGTCAATTAATAATTTATTTAAAAAAAAAAAAAGTTAATTTTTTTTTTTCCTTTGCCTCCAAGTTAATTCTATTGAATATTATTATTATTATTATATATTAAATGCCATTTTCTTTCAGGTTCTGGTTCGATTTCAACTTTTTTTTTTTTTATTAATATTAATTTTACTAAAACGGATTTCTTTTATGAATCAACATTAATTTTATTATTATTATTACGAAAACTACTACTTCTACTACTACCACTATCGCCATTCATTATTATTATTATTTTAATTTTTTTTTTTTATAATTTAATGGGGGAAAAAAAAAACATTTTTTTTATATTTCAGGTACGAACGTTTTCATAAAAAAAAGAATAAAAGGTTTGTTTACAGACATTCGATAACCTTCTTTTCTCTTTTATTTTTTTCATTCATAAAAAGTTTTTTTTTTCCTTCAAACGATTATTATTATTATTATGTTATTAATTGATAGTAAAAAGTTTATTTCGTGACGTCACAACACCACGTGTGTAATAAATAATAACCACGAGTCAAAAAATAAATTTTTATTATCGTTATCGATAAAAAAATATTTATTCAATAAACAATATTTTTTCCTCTCTTCTTCTTCTTCTTTCGTTTTTCTCCCCTCCCCTCTCTTCCCCCATTCAACTTTAGCGTCAATTTAACTCTTGTACGACAAAAAAAAAAGAAAAATGTTTGTCGCAAAAGAAATTAAAAAAATTAAATTGAAAGGTTTCGACAAATTTTTTTTCTTTTTTTTTTGTTTCAACGGACGAGCAAACCTATTAAATGTTATAAAAATTTACGGATGAGAGAAGAAGACAGACTGAGTTAATGCAGACGAATAAAAACCAAAGTTTTTTTTTTTTATTTCCGTTCACACACTTAATATTCCGTTTTTTTTTCCTTCTTCTTCTTCTTCATCATCAACTTCTTCTGTCTTTTTTTTCTTGTGACCAGAAACTACTTCGTGAGGATTAATAACACAAAAAAAAAAATCAAGAAAATCCAGTTTTTTTTTTTTTCATTCATTTTCTCGTTTGTTACTTTTTTTTTTTTTTTTGG